TTGGAAAAGGGCATGAAGTAAATATTGAGCTAACTTGGTTTTTTTCCAAGTGGGCCCATCCTTTTACGTTTGAAACTTATTCCTAACATGTCCAAGAACCTATAAACTCAGCCATGCATAAATTTGATTTTTATTTTATTTATTGTTGATTTTTTTTCAAATAAAATAAAAATAAATTAAATAAATACAAGATTGATGTATAAGACGTGCAAGGCTAGAGATTTGGCAACGTTGGAGGCCCAAAAAGCTCACAAATAGCTGTCAAAGACGCACAAGGCAAGAGGAGGGAAATATCTTCTTGTTTTGGAAATTTTGGATCAAATCTTCATGACTTTAAAAGCATGATTATATTTGATCTCATGGATGGATTTTTAACCTAATATTGGCTACTACATATGCACAACAATTCAGACCTAATACATAGATACGCAGCAGCCTCAAAATAACCCTAACACTTCTCAAAAAATTTCAAAGAGTGGTACAACTCGTATTCACATTTGCAGCCAGCTTTAAAGCCTTCTAACCATTCCTTGGTGTTCCCGAGGTAAGCATAGGTAAGTATGGATCACCATCCATAGCCATAGCACACTGAAAATCATCATGCATGACTCATATTTTCATAATGTTTCTGTCATTCGTATTTTTAATTATAGCTCATTTCAATCTGTTCTAACTCCATTAACATGATCACAAGATGATAAGGAACATGTCTAGGAAATCGTTGATAAGCTTTGATTGCTAAATAGCCATCTGCCATTGTTAGAGCGTAGAGAACTGCAAGCTTCATATCTCTCTGTACAAGGACTTTCAGACCAAACAAACACCACCACTGGATTCACAACCCTCGAATTAGGGGGGTAGGGTCCTTCTTTTGCGTTTAATGTGGCTATTTTGTAGGTTTGACGATTGAGGCTCGTCGGAGAAGACGACCAGAGTGTTGACTCCAACGTCTCTAGGGTTTTTGACTCAAACGAGGCATGTGTGGCACGATCCACTATTTTAATTGGTCTGTTCAAATTTCTAGGGGCCCACTGAATGGTGCACATGGACAATTCAACATCTACTTTGGTTTTCATATTATTTTGTTTTATTTCATTTATATCCACGAATGAGAAGGGTGGCTGAGTGGTAAGGAAGAATGCTTGTGAAGTGAAAGATATGGGTTCGATACCCAAGTCAGGCGTTTTATTTTTTTCTAACAGACTATTTGTAGATTCAGTGTGCCTAGATCCAAAGCATGCATCATAGGCCCTCAAACTCACGCCATCAGATCCCACTGGCTTGGATCCAGCGCCTCCAAGCGTGTAACTCCATGGTGGACCTTCCAGATGCAGCACTACTGGATCATACGCTAGAGTGGGCCAACATATCTGGGCCTTGCAAATTCAGCCCCCCCCCCCCCCCCCCCGAAATTGGTTTCTCACTCCAGGCCCATTTCCCTCTTTTTTATTTATTTTTAATTTACTTTATTTTCTTTTTTAATTAGTTTATGTTTTTTTAAAATTCATTTTTTTAATCATAACATCAACAAAAAATCACCAAAAAATAGATTTAGGTTTTTTTAAATTAAAATTAATTCTTGCAAATTAATTTAATTTAATTGATTTTACTTGTTTTCTTTAATTTAAAATTAATCAGAAATTAGGTTAAATCTCAAATGTTTTCATATAAAATACCAAAAAATATTTTCATTAAGCAGTTAGATTTTTAGGGTTTCAAACTTGCTCCCATCTTAATCTCCGTGCGTTTATTATTTTCCATTTTACCATTTTTTTCAATTTATTGTAACTGTTTCCCGGATTGTAATAGCCCTAATTAGGATTTTTACTTTCTGCACTTTACATTTTCAGTCAGATATAATTGTAATTTCTCCGAAGCCTTGTAATAGCTGTAGGTTTCACTTTCGACACTATATTGTATGTCTGTATATAAACTGCTAGTAATTAGACGTGCATGGCAAGAACTAACCAATCAATCTTAGATCACTAACATCAAGATAAAAATATTTGAAAAAAGCACACTATTGCACACTCACACTCCTAGGGTATCTCCCACTTTGGTTGCCTTCGAAAATGGTCATGTCCCTCGAACGTAGGGATACCCTTAGCAAAAACCCTCAGTTAAAGTTATCATAAAGATCATAGTCCTTTAATGTCCCTTGAGTTGCCTACGAGAAATGATCTTGTCCCTCGATGTTGCCTACAGATATATGATGACAATCCCTTCGAACTGCTAAGGTATCTCTACATGTTGCCTTCAATGACCATAAAACATCCATTTCGATAGTCCATCCACATCCAATGATAGGGCTACCTACTCACTAATAGTAGTATAGCACTATCTAAAGGAAAGGAGGAAAATAACGCCTTTTTCGAGTAGGCAGATAGCTGTTAAGTACTTGCTCAAAACTAATTCCTTTTCACACCACACTTTCAAAACTCTTTTCAAAAACGCTTTATCACACTCTTGAGGACTGATACAAGAGTTATCATAAAGCAAACAAAACTTTTCAAAACACACAAACACGAAAGAAATTTTCAAAAATGAGTAAGTACCTAAGAGCCAATGGAAAACCACGGATGGAAAGGGTGCTAACAACTTCCCTTTCCATAATCTACCCCCCTTACTCAGAAAATCTCGAAAAAGGTTTTTTTCTGTTCTTTTCACCCTTTCCTTAATTTGGATAAAAGAAAAGTCGGTGGCGACTCTTTCTTACCGCACATTTGCGAATAAAAAACACAAACTAGCATTAACAGTCGATTCTGCCACCATATCACAGAACTGGCGACTCTGCTGGGGAACTATAAAAAGTGGAGTTACCTTAGAGTTAGTTTATTATTTAAACTTCTTTTGTATGCTTTGTTTGCTTTACCTTTTGGGATTGTTTGGGTTGTTACTATAGATCCTACACCCGGATCTGGGGCACCTTTTAGGTAAGTAGAAATAGATGGTGGAAACTGTGTGGGGTATACCGACACGGTTGAAACGATAGCTACGTTGATGTGACACTTTGGTTGGTACCAGTAGCCCTTGAGTAATCAAGGAGAATATAGGGCCGCTGCATGGTGTCATAAAGCATCAACTGACCTTAGAACCTTTAATTGACCAACTTGGCCATTAGGAAGTAGTGAGATAGCCGTCTTTGGTGTAGTCCTAAGTCGATTGACACTCAATAATTTGACTCCCGAGTTTTGTTTGGTGGCAAGTCAGTTGTCGATCAGAACGAAACTTGTGAGAAAGATCAATGATATTGAGATCCCTTAGAACCCGGTTACTATTACTAGGACAGGTTGAGCCAACTAAATTTCAAGAGGGTACTTAGCTACAGGCCCTAGTGAAACAACCGGCTGAAAATCATCAAGACAATGAAGTCGCCATCGAACGTCTTTTATCCCACATGTAGGGAAAGGTAAACATCGAGAAAACCTGAGAAGGGAGAAGTCACGGTCTTGCAACCGAGAGATCGGGTAAGGGAGTCTGTTACGCGAGGGGAAGGTATTAGCACCCCACACGCCCGTAGTACTCTACGGTATCCACTCTTGTTATCTATCTTATGGGTGTGTTTAATCTATGCTTATTGTTTACTATACTACTGGAGGAATGCATGCAAAAGAAAGGGGGAAAAGAATGTAGGGAAAATAAAATTGTGCTCGCTTGGGCCCTACCCCAATGCCTACGTATCCATTTTGAGGAATCAGAGCTACCGTAGTTCGGCTCATATGTTTTTGTTTGTTTGTGTTTTTTATGGACGAAGTTAATTCCGCCTTATGCCGCAGCTCGACCTTTGGAGACTTATGCGTTGGCACAGAAGTAAATTAATCATGTCCTTACCTGAAAAGGGTTTAAAAGAAAAGGTGCTCGAGCACACAAAAGATTTGAGTTGGTTTGTATTTTGTTATAGATGTTTTTTATGGACGAAGTTAATTCCGCCTTCTGCCGCAGCTCGACCTTTGGAGACTTATGCGTTAGCACAAAAGTAAATTAATCGTGTCCTTATCTGAAAAGGGTTTTTAGAAAAGTGCTCGAGTGCACAAAAGATTTGAACTTGTTTTGTATTTTTGTTGTAGATGATGACTGATTGACCTCAAGAGAGAGATATTAGCCATTTTTCTACTTAGCCATGAAAGGAGTTTTTGAGAATTGAACCAAACCTGAGTTTGAGATGAAGAACAATAAGATCGAGAAGAGACCCGCTCATCATTCCCCGTACTAAGCAAACGCATGATTCAAATCAATAGTTTTACAGTGTTTTGAATTTCGAAAAGAAAAAGAAGTTTTAGTTTTAGATGCGTATGCAAAAGGGAAAGAAAAGTTAAAGGGGAATTAACCTATTTCTAAACCTAATGTTATTGTGTATTGTTAGCCCTAAAGTTAGAATTTTGAAGGAATTCTACCTAATGTTAGCATGTTTGAATTACGATAAAGTATGAAAATGAAGAATAAGATAGATTTGCGACAATACCGAACGGAGGAGGTCCGTTACCTTTTCAAAATTGTGCAAGCGGTAAGAGAATTCTATCAAAGTTCCATTGGGCAAGTGATTGAAGAATTAACCCCGAGTATTCCACATTGCAAGAGTTATATCAATGCTATCACAAAAATCTTGACTAAAAAAGTCAATAAAATGATTATCGAATATGAAAAATAAAATAGAAAAAATTCTAATCGAAATTCTAAAAAGAAATTCTAAAGAATTCTAAAATATCCTATTGTTTTGTGTCATTTTATTATTAATTAAAAAAATTAAATTAGAAGAAAAAACTAAAATAAAAATTAAAAGAATCAAGTGGGGTACAAGCTGAATTCAGGGTGGTGCAAGCCAAATCTAGGCGCTATGGCCCAACATGACATGAGTCCAATAAGCATTTTTAACATTTCATTTATTATTTACTTAGTTATTGTTATTATTAATTTGAAATAAAAATAATAAAACAATAAGACAATTAAAAAAAAAGGAAAAAATGCATGAAATTGGAAAAGGAATAGGGTTAAAGAAAAGAATGTCTCTTCCTCTCTCACGCACAGAAGCGCACAGAAGCGGCGCCGCCGACCTCTTCTTCTTCCTTCATCAGCGGCGCGGCCTCTTCTTCACCACAAACAGAATCGAACGGCGTCGGTATCTTCGTCACCTCGCATTGCTCCGTCTCAGTTTCCATCCGCCGTGCTCAGCTCTCCTCCGCGATTTCTGCTCTCAAACGTGTTTCATTTTTTTTTCTTCTTCTCTTTCGATTGCGCTTATGTGTTCTCTGTGTTATTATTGCTGCATGTTGAAGTTGTTCTGGATGCAGATTGATGAACCGATGCAAGAAGGTTACAATAGCGGTTGTAGATGCAGAGAATATCGATGATACATGTTGAAGAACAAGAAAATGAGTGAAGCTATAAGAAGAAGATGCGATTGTTGCAGGTTGATGAAACTGTTAAGAGTAGAAGATGATTGAAGGTGTGGATTGTTGAAGATGATTGCAAAATATGCAGAGGAGTTCAGAGAGAGTTATGATATTTTTTGGTGAGTTTGTGAATTCTGAATCGCGGATCTGCAGAGAGTAGATTGAGAAGTTTCTTTTTGATATTTTTGTGGTGATTCTTCTAACCGATGAAGAATGATTGTAAAGGTGAGTTTTTTTCTTCTGTTGAAACCGTCTCCCTCTTTTATTCTGTCAATCTCTGGTTATATATATGCTGTGAGCTCTCTCCTCTATATGCTGGAAGTTTTGTTATTTATATATAGGAGGTTGGTTAGGAATGATTTAGTTATGCAGTTAGAAGTTAAGATGCAGTTAGGAGTTTGTTTACAGTTAAGTTGGTTTTTTATGAAAGCTGTTTTGGGTTTGTTAAGTAGTGTTAGAGATTCTGTTAGGTGGTTAAGAGGTGGGAAAAAATGGAAAGTTGGTTACAGTTAGAAGTTAGGAAAAAGTTAGTGGTTGTTGGGAAAAATGGAAAGTTGGAATTGGTTAATTTCGGTTAGGAGTTTATATATTATGTTTGTTATTTAATCACAGGTCATGTTGCTGTAAGTTTTTTGGTTAGAAGTTTGTTATAAAATTGGTTAGGTGGTTAAGTTAGTTATGAAGAAAGTTAAGAAAAGATGTTAGGTGTTATAATAGTTTTGGTTGTTGTTAGTTATGCTGTTTATGGTTTGTTAAGTTAGTTATGGTTTGGGAAATGGAAGTGTAGTGTATGCGGTTCATGCTTATGACAGTTTATCCAATGTTTTGCAGGTTTGGTTCATATCAGGGCTATTGGGAAGCAAAGGCAAAAGGAAAACACCAAGATGATATGAAGTTGGAACAAAGGCGCATAACACGAAGTTTTGGAAGCTTGAAGTTTGAAACATGAAGAATGGTTGAAAATTAGGATAGGTTTTGGTAAAATATATAGATGTTATGTATAATTGTAATGGAATTTGGACTTGTATGTATTTGAATAATTGTAATGTATGTTGACTTTATTTCCACATAATGAAATGGCCTTTGTATGAATTCAAATAAATGGTATTAATCCAAAATATTTGCAAGGCAACCAAAAGAGACATGAATCTTGAATGAATCCAAGAGAGGATATTTGGACAATATTTTGATGGTTGGATGAATTTGATACATGCTTTTTCATATTTGTGGTTTGAATTCCAAGAAAAGCCACACAAATATTTAAGAACTTTGATTTTCTCCAAATCCGCTTCAAATATTAATGAATGAATTCTAATCAAACTACAGCTTCAGTGAATCCCTAATTCAATTCACTTTTTCCAATCTAAACCAAATTCGCGTGTCAAGCAAATAAGAATCTGAGATAATGACACCTTGATCACAATCAACATCTTGTACCATGTCCCGACTGTATGAGCACTAGAATAACGACGTCTTGGACCCCTTCTCAATAGATGATAATGACCATGCCCTGAGGAATTCTTTGCAGATGAATATGGAAGATGAGACATGTGAATACCTTGATATGGAATGAACCTCAGGTAGAATGCTGACAAGCTCAAATATGAAAATGTATAAACCCTGATTTTTAGCTTCGTCTCATAAAACCTTGCAACTTGACATTGGGAAGAAAAGAATAGCATCGTAGCTTGATGATGATAAGGTCCATGAAATGAAAACCTAGCTTCAAACAGATTATTAATGGAGAAATCAACCGAAACAAGCTTGTGCGAAGATGGGAGCCTTAAAGCCATACACCAACCCTTATTCCTCGAAATCCATGATCTTATGCCAATTTATTGATTAATGATGCATGATGTGTTAGATGACCTAATGTGAGAAAAATGCAAAAATGCGTAAGCCAGATAGGAAGTAAAAGGGTAGGACAAATTTGGGTATTACACCTAGGAAAGCCTAAACTTAAGGCTGCTTGTGTGATTTGTTTGCTTTCAACTTGAGCTACTTACAGGGTTTTTATCTAACAACATGATCTCCTTGCAGGAATTGTTTACAGTCATTATCCAGTAACCTGGACTTATTAGACTCACTTGTCTTCATCACCTTACACTTTTGCTTAACGCATAACATACACATCATAACATCATGCCACATCATTTCCTTAACCATTTCAAGGATCTCAAGGGTTTGTGATGCAGGTTATGATAAATCAGACGTCTAGCAAGGGGATTTATTTTCCTCTAGCCAATGTCGTCAAAAGACCAAAACACGACAACTTGAGTTAGGGGCTATGACCCACTTGATATGGTGAGTTTGACTCTCGTATAAGGACACTCAACGATACAAAGTTCTTCAATCAAAGCTGCATATTTCAACTTCTGACATTTTCTTGTTTACCCCGCGAGATCCTTGAAAACATTGCATGCATGCCATTTCATAACAGGTCTTCCAGTACAGGTTTTCGCTATTTATTTCAGCAGAAGAAATGGACCTTGAACAAACAATAAAAGACCTTCAAGCTCAAAACACTCAGTTCCAACAAATGTTCATGGCCTTGGCCTAGGGGCAGGAAGAAATGAAATCTCCCGTCATCAAAGAGAAGAAAAAGAAGGCAAAGAAATCGACTGGCATCTTGAATATGAGAAGAAGACTCAGAGGACCGGTTAAACGAGCTCTAGATCTCACAACTCCATCAAACGAAGGGGATAATCATGAAGAAGTCAACAACCACGAGGCCGATGAAGAAGAAGTTGATTACTCTGAGGAACAATATCCTCCTGCTGATGATAAATACAAACAATTGGAGGATCGTCTCAATGCTATGGAGATTCAGCAGGTACCTGGCTTGGACTTTGAAGAGTTAGGGATGGTTCCTGGAGTGGTCATCCCACCAAAGTTCAAGGTTCCCACATTCTCTAAGTATGACAGTGTCTCATGCCCTAAGTTGCACTTAAGGTCCTATGTCAGGAAGATCCAGCCTCACACTACTGACTGGAAGTTATGGGTCCATTTCTTCCAAGAAAGTTTAGCTGGCATGCAACTTCAGTGGTTCTATCAGCTAAAAAGAACAGACATTCATACCTGGGAAGACTTGGCTGCTGCTTTCTGCAAGCTGTACCAATATAATGCTGACCTCGCTCCAACTCGTACACAACTTCAAAGCATGTCTATGGGTTCTAGTGAAGGCTTCAAGGAATATGCCCAGAAATGGAGGGATCTAGCTGGCAGGGTACAACCTCCTCTTAATGATCAGGAAATGGTAGACATGTTCATAGGCACTCTAACAAGCCCGTTCTTTAATTTGCTGATAGGGAGTTCCTCATTCGGGTTCACAGAGATGGTTCTGACTGGAGAAAAGATAGAAAGTGGTATCAAGAGTGGGAAGATCCCGATGTATGCATCTTCTAATGCTGAGAAGAAGCCATTTGATGGTAAGAGGGAAGCCAATGATGTGTATGGCCAGAAGGGTCATAATAAGGTAGACTACCACCAACCTGTAGGGGCAGTGCTGGTCTCTAATTTGGAACGCGTGCAACGACCATAACAACGGGGTAATCAGCGAAGGCAAGACGAGCCTAAGTGATGGTTTACCAAGATTAACATGCCGTTGTCTCAAGCATTACAACATATGTTAAGGATGAATTTGATTACATTGATAAGACCTCATATAAACCCTAAGACTTCTTCTCCTAACTACAATCCTGATGCAAGGTGTGCCTATCATTCTGGATGTCCTGGGCACGATACTAATGATTGTTGGGCACTAAAATAAAAGATTCAAAATATGATTGATGCCAAGGAGATTGAGTTCGAACCTCTTGAGACTCCCAACGTGATCACTACTCCCATGCCAAATCATGGCCGGGATTGGGAGCATTTTTGTTCATTTGAATTCTCAAGTTGTATTTTCTTTGTTTGTTCAAACAATTATTGTCATGTCAAAATTTGTCATTTAATTAATGCATTACACATGTTTGTCTTGAATTAATTTGTTTTAATTATGCTTAAACTGCTTTCTTACTTCCCTTTTGTGATATTCAACTCTTGATTAAAATCTCTAAGCCTTTAGAGGGAGGATGACGAGAACGATACAACAATCTCTACAATATGCTTTTGAACAGACCCTACCGATGATGTACAGGCGTTGTTTCAAATCCTAAACAGTGGATTTATAAGGAAGATAATCCCTAGTCAACCCCTTTGATCCTAAGAAGTAGGAGTTTTATTTTCACACAAATTAAAACCCTTAACCATAACTTGAGGCAGGGTAATTTTCCAGTTAATTCAGATATGCATTCAGTTGCAAGCTTTCCCTTCATACATGATAACTAGTGTAGGAGATGCTCTCCAAAATATGGTGATGGTTCCACATAATCATTAAGAACAGACATTCATTATTTTTCAAAAAAAGAAAAGCCCGTTAAGTCAAAACCTATGAAGGAGACTTAAGAAAAAACTAGGGCATCCCGCTGACTGTAATCACAAAAGAGATAGTTCAGGCAAAAGTAGGGATAACAAAATTAAAAAAAGAGGTCTTACAAATCCGCAACAAAAGAAAAGGTTACAAAAAATGAATGCCTTCTCAAACAAACGTTCAATTTCTGAGCCATCACCGGAATATCGGGGCTAATATTCCAGAACTCAACTGGGATTCAAAATGCACAATTAACTGAGTATAGGAATGAAGAATATCACGAAGAGTGGGTTGGGTACAAATCAAATCTCCTTACATGAACATGGAAGACCCAATTGAAATAAAACCAAAAGGGTTGTTTAGAGGATATCCTAAGCTCTCTAAAAAGTCCAAGAACACCCTCTTAAGGTTAAAAATGAGAGAGATGTGCATTGCTAAAGTTGACCAATTTTTGGAAAAGGGCATGGAGTAAATATTGAGCTAACTTGTTTTTTTTTTCCAAATGGGCCCATCCTTTTACATTTGAAACTTATTCCTAACATGTCCAAGAACCTATAAACTCATCCATGCATAAGTTTGATTTTTATTTTATTCATTGTTGATTTTTATTCAAATAAAATCAAAATAAATTAAATAAATACAAGATTGATGTATACGGCGTGCAAGGCTGGAGATTTGGTCAGGTTGGAGGCCCAAAAAGCTCACAAATAGTTGTCAAAAATGCACAAGGAAAGAGGAGGGAAATATCTTCTTGTTTTGGAAATTTTGGATCAAATCTTCATGACTTTAAAAGCATGATTATATTTGATCTCATGGATGAATTTTTAACCTAATATTGGCTAATACTTATGCACAACAATTCATACCTAATACATAGACACGCAGCAGCCTCAAAAGAACCCTAACACTTCTCAAAAAATTTCAAAGAGTGGTGCAACTCGTATTCAGATTTGCAGCCAACTTCAAAGACTTCTAACCATTCCTTGGTGTTCCTGAGGTAAGAATAGGTAATTATGGATCACCATCCATAGCCATAGCACGCTGAAACTCATCATGCATGACTCATATTTTCATAATTTTTCTGTCTTTCGTATTTTTAATTATAGCTCATTTAAATCTGTAATCTGTTCTAACTCCATTAACATGATCATAAGATGATAAGGAACAGGTTTGGGAAATCGTTGATAAGCTTTGATGGCTAAATAACCATCTTCCATTGTTAGGGTGTAGAGAACCGCAAGCTTCGTATCTCCCTGTACAGGGACTTTCAGACCGAATGAACACCACCACCACCATTTTTTTCAATTTATTGTAACTGTTTCCCGGATTGTAATAGCCCTAATTAGGATTTTTACTTTCTGCACTTTACATTTTCAGTCAGATATAACTATAATTTCCCCGAAGCCTTGTAATAGCTGTAGGTTTCACTTTCGACACTATATTGTATGCCTGTATATAAACTGCTAGTAATTAGGCATGTATGGCAAGAACTAACTAATCAATCTTAGATCACTAACATTAAGATAAAAATATCTGAA